CAGTCAAAGATCAGTTTAGAAATTAGCAAAAGGGACTTAATTTAAGAAGACTGCATTTTAGCTGAGTCAAGACTGTCTACAGAGGAGTGAAGGTACCACTTTCTTGACTACTACGATGACCTAATGTGTCTCAATTACTGGCCCTATGGGTTTTCCTCTTCATTCTTATGTTTGGAGGATATCCAATCATGTCTCAACCCCTCCAGGGGTAAGGTGAGGACAGTTTGGGTTATGAAACTTAAAATGACTTTTAAAAGAAGAAATCAGCCGGGCGGTGGTAGCGCACGCCTTTAATCCCAGCACTCGGGAGGCAGAGCCAGGTGGATCTTTGTGAGTTTGAGGCCAGCCTGGTCTACAGAGTGAGATCTAGGAAAGGCACAAAGCTACACAGAGAAACCCTGTCTCGAAAAACCCTAAATAGATAAATAACTCAGAAATCACAATTGCTGAGGTGCCAGGGAGCAAGAGTCGGCCTCTGCTGTACTTGGGAAGCCCTGTCCTTGCCCTGTACGGACCCCGACATCATCCACTGAGCTGTGTCAAGAAGCAACACAGATTAGAGTGTCGAGATGAGGACAGGGAACCTGGAGGGAAAACCAGTTAAAGAGCGTCTCGGTCTGACCAACAGAGCAAAGTCTGGCTCACAGAACTTCCCGGAGGAAAAGTGACCCTGGCTCGCTTTGAAGTTACCTGCTCTTCTGGGGAAGCAAAGGAAACACTAAGACTTAAACCTACAACTGTGTCCAACCTTTAGACATCGTGACATGTTGTCACCTATAAAATTCAACCCTGACAACCATGCTATCAGATTATTCCTCCCAAAGCTTACAAAGTTCTAAGTAAGTTGTGTGTTAGGTTGCATTCATAGCTACCTGAGGCACATGTGGCCTACCTAGGGGAGGTTGGCCACACCAAACTGGATTTCAAAAAATGGCCCCCAAATCAAAAAGAAAAAAACAAAACAAAACAAAAACCTCAGAAAAAGATACAACGGCTTTCCCACCATAAGTCTGAAGCGGTTGCCTAACTCTGTTCCCAAGCCACACTCAGGTCTTAGCTTCCAACACTTTAGCACCATTATCCATTTCAAATGGACAGTTACTCAGAACACAGAAGGAGTCCATTACCATTTCAGATGCCATTATCAATTCATATTTAGGGCACAGGAGGAACAGATGTATGTGAAATTTACAAAAACTAAGGCGGCATGCTCGTTTCCGGAGCAGCCGCACCCCATTCTGCCACTCAACACCTTTAACCGACTGTGACAAAGGACACTGAGAATGCTAATAACAGACAACCCCAAAGCTGCTGCGGGGAGAAGATGGGAACACCAGAATCTAGACTGTAAAAAGAAAAGTAATAAATGCTGAACTAAATACGAGTTGAAAAAATTTTAGTGATTTTTCATTTAAGATAATTAAGACTAAGAATTACTTTTTAAAACTCCGTAATTTACCTACAATTTAATGTCTTCATACTGTGTCAGGAAATACAAATTTCATAAAACTATTAAATACATGTAACTGAATCACGGAGAACTGTGAAACCTGTTACTTTTTACACACAATACTTCCAACACTGTCTTTTGGATTAAAAACTCATCAACCAAACAGCTGTCAGACCACAGGACCATTAAAGGTGAGAGCTGCTCACATCTTCATGCTTTGCACTTACATAGAGTTTCGAAATGTAGTAACAGTATTTTATATAGCGAACATTTTTTGAACAACAAACAGTACAAATAATAAGAAACGGTGATGCAGCTCCATGGAAGAATGTCTGCCCAGCACGAGGAGCCCCTAGGTCTGACCTCTAAGCAGCTGGAGAAGCCCAAAGAACAGGGTAAAGTCCAGATTGTTTTAGCTCTTTGGGATGTACTGACTTCCCCTCTTTCTAGTCAGTTGAACTGCATAAAATTGCAACATTCAGCTTTTAAAGTTTTTCATTCTGAAATAATTTCAGATTCATAGCATACTGGCAAAAAAAATGCACATCTTGAGTGATGTGGACTCTGGCAAAGTCAATGCTGAGCATGCTCATAGACTGGATTAAGTGTCTAATGCCACAGATAGAAATACGTAGACCTTGGGTCTCTCCCAATGCTTAGGTTTCACATAATTACGGTATGATATCAAAGCCAAGAGCCTGACAGCAGAACACACAGAGCAGAGCTTGTTCAGATCCCCACTGTGCATGTACTCGGTGTATGGGTGTGCGCATCAGCAGCTCTGTGAAGGTGTTACCAGCTCACAGCCTGCATGGCCTCTGTCCAGATACTCACTGCACATCACAAGACTCCTCGTGTTGCTCTTCTATAATCTTCCCCCAGCGCTGATCTAGTCTCAAACCTCTAACTCTACTGTCACATAAAAGCCACATCAACACAATCTTACATGGCTTCTTTTACTCAGCCTGCTGTCTTGGGCTCGTCTACACTGCTGCATGTACTGAAAAACATGTTCCTTATATTTCTGGGCATCTCTGTGCACCATTACTGGTGCTCACTGGGGTTCAGGTACCCTCCTCCTCCTTTCCCACAGCACTTCTGTCTATACCAAGTTCCAGCCTTACAGGCAGTGTTTTCAGCAGCTGTTGTTCTGAAGGTACTTTACAAAGGTTCCTGGATGTAACGCTGCTCTGAGTTACTTCCTGTCACATCTGGGCTTATTAAGCATATTTAACTGTACTAAAACTCTGTTCAGAAACTGAAGACTTTTTAGACTAGAGGACACACGAGACTTTATTCTAGTTTCAACAGTCTCTTCTGTTGTTTTATTATCTAAGGACAGCTGCATTTCCTTCCTTCAACAGCTCCCACAACAAGGCGCTCGCTCACTAGTTCGCTAGCTCACTCCTAAAGTCTTTCCTACTTCCCTGCCCCTGACACAAGGCATGAACACAAATTACCCTATGAGAGACCTAAAAAGGATGTTCCTTGAACAGGATTACATTACATTCATTTTAAAAATATCAACTTCTGCCTGGGCGGTGGTGGCACACGCCTTTAATCCCAGCACTCGGAGGCAGAGCCAGGCAGATCTCTGTGAGTTCGAGGCCAATCTGGGCTACAGAGTGACTTTCCAGGAAAGGCGCAAAGCTACACAGAGAAACCCTGTGTGTAGCTAGAGTTTTCCTGCCTGGCCCACAGTCAGGGCAAATCTCTCTCACCTGCCAGTCCCACAGCCGTCAGACCCGACCAAGTAAACACAGAGACTTGTATTGGTTTCAAACTGTATGGCTATGGCAGGCTTCTTGCTAACTGTTCTTACAGCTTAAATTAATCCATTTCCATTAATCTATACCTTGCCACATGGCTCGTGGCTTACCGGCATCTTCACATGCTGTTTCTCATCGTGGCGGCTGGCAGTGTCTCTCTGACTCAGCCTTCCACTTCCCAGCTTTATTCTCCTCCTTGTCCCGCCTACACTTCCTGCCTAGCCAATGGCCAATCAGTGTTTTAATTATTGACTAATCAGCAACACATTTGACATACAGAACATCCCACAGCACCTGTGTTTAAAATTTTAAATGGTTATCTGGAGAGCCATCTAGAATGCTAAAGTTAATGCTTTTATTTTATTCATTTATCTTTTATGGTGCTGGGAAGGATCCTGGGCACTAACTCATGCCAGGTAAGTTCCATCAACAAGTTATACCCCAGCCCAAGTTAACACATTCTCAAACAGAAAGTTAAATAACTTCTTACAGAGCTTTACCCTACTTGGAAAGGGTAAAGCCACAAGAAATACATATCACCAAGTCAACTAACATTGTGTGTGTGTGTGTGTGTGTGTGTGTGTGTGTGTTATGAAGTTAAATAATTCTTTTAAGAATTCTCAATTCACTTATTTCTATACGACATCATTCATAAATTTAGTTAGTTCAGTACACTTAGGAAGCACATTTGGCCGGGTGGTGGTGGTGGTGGTGGTGGTGGCGGCGGCGGCGGCGGCGGCGGCGGCGGCGGCGGCGGCGGCGGCGGCGGCGGCGGCGGCGGCGGCGGCGGCGGCGGCGGCGGCGGCGGCGGCGGCGGCGGCGGCGGCGGCGGCAGCCGGGCGGTGGTGGAGCACGCCTTTAATCCCAGCACTTGGGAGGCAGATGCAGGTGGATCTTTGTGAGTTCCCCGCCTGGTCTACAGAGTGAGTTCCAGAATAGGCTCCAAAGCTACACAGAGAAACCCTATCTCGGGTGGGGGTAAGAAGTACATTTGTTACATCTTTTATAACTTGGTTAACAATTTAAAATATCTCTGTTGCAACACTATAAAACCTAAGGTCATCTAGAAATGTGGGATATTCTTGCAGTCAGTGTTTTGGAGCTTCATCACTATGTCTAGACGATCACAATGATTAAGTATTGAAACATTCTCAGAGCATTCTGAATCATTAAAATGTTTATGGTACTTTCTACTATCGTGAGAAGTACTGTCTTTAGCAGAGTAATATCAATAGTAAAAAGATTTAATTAATTTAAAATTTTCCCAACCTTGATAACTAGGTCTGTTTTTTATTTAGCTAAACAATCTTTCCTGCTAGAGGTGCATGGCATTTAGGTTAATCTGCTTATGTGTAAGACTTAGGGTTCAAGTTATTATGTTTTATTTCTAAATTATGAATCTAAATAATAATAATAATGTAAAAAGCCAGGTACATTGCCATGTGCCTGTAGTCACAAGCACTTGGAAGATAGAGGCAGAAAGGAACACAAGGCCAGTTGCAGCCACATAGTGACTATGAGTCAGCGTGAACTACACGAGCTCCTATCTTTAAAAAACAAACAAGCCTGGCGGTGGTGGTGCACACCTTTAATCTCAGTACTCGGGAGGCAGAGGCAGGTGGAACTCTGAGTTCGAGGTCAACCTGGTCTACAGAGTGTGTTCCAGCACAGCCAGGGCTACACAGAGAAACCCTGTCTCAAAAAAAAAAAAAAAAAAAAAAAACCAAACCAAACCAAACCAAAACAAAAAAAACCCAAAAAGCCCTCCACAACAACAAAGGGCAGAGAAAGGAAAGGGAAAAAGAAAACGCTTCTTCTCATTCCTAACATCTGGGAGGAGGAAATGGCACAGTAATGGTCACTCTTCTGTGGGAGGCCAGCTCCCACCTTTTCAAGGGTTTTTATGAGGAGAGAGGGATAAGAAAATATTAGATAGGAAGATAGCAAAGAGGAGAAAGAAACACAGGATAATGTTTCACTGAAAGCTTTCTGATACCAGTCTTCAAAGTTCCAAATATGAAGAAACCCACAACCAAAAACTTTTTGCAGTTTTCCTGAATGCAACAATTCAATTCAAAGAGTCTCTGAAGCTTTCATTCTCCGCTTGGCTGCACTTTGCAGTCCCTAGCCTCCCTAAGGCAATTCTGCTCCAGGGCAAAAGCTGTTAGCTCCCACAATAGCTGGCTGGTGCAGGTCCTCTCAAAAAAGGCCTTCTTACAGCCAGCAAACCAACTGCACAGCTTTGGCTGCTGGCTTTTACAGCTTTCACAGTCCCAGTCTGTGCTTCCCATAACAGACCTGCCTGACTCTAGGGCTCTCAATGGCCTCAGGCCACACGGGGCCGCCCCTGCTGCTAGAGCTATGGCTTTCAAGCAGCAACCCTGGGTCTGGGAGGAGACCCAGCTGCTGCGATCTGCAGCTTCCTCAGGTCCCACTACCTGCTCTGCCAGGCTCCCCCAACACCACCTGGCTTGCATGGCCAAATGCAGGGCTCCTGCTCCTAGACCACCCAACCATACACTCCAGACCAGTGCCTGACTTTGCCACCCCCAGCTCCTCCTTCAAGAGTGACTAGAGAACCAGGAATCTGCAGCACCTGCATTTCCCAGGTCTCCCAGGCAACTCCAAGCTGTCAAAAGCATATCTGAAGTTCCATGGGCCCGATGATCCTTACTTCTGTTTAGAAGTATCTGAACCAGATTTCTTTTGCATATTCAAAGGCTCCTCTGTCAGAGACATTTCCACTCATATTGCCTTAGTATCAAGTTAATCAGCTCAAAAACTATAATCAAGGTGCATGCTTCCAAGTTTAAGAGTGGCACACTCTATTTAGCAATTTACTGAGAAAGAATGTAATGCCAAAAGTGGCATTTCCCCCAGTTACACATATTGTATCTGTTATACACAACATTGATCACAATGGACACAAAGCTCAACATGCTTCTAGTTTCAAACGTTTCTCATTAAAATGCCCTCATGCCACTGGCTGGAGAGCCCATGCCTCTAAAGGTTCACTGACAGTCAAGGCACAGTGGATCTGAAGGCTCACTGTATTTGCTGGAGATCTCATTATTTCCACATAATACCTTAAAATTGGGAATTTATCACTTCCAATTATACACTGTAAATGGCTTCTAAATGAGTGACAGGAATTATCTATATGCTATCAGTGGCTGTCTGAGTTCCTTATTCCTCTTTCAAACTACCAGCCCACACATGGGAATGAGAAGGACCCTATACTTCCCAGGCAGGCTGGTGTACAGCCTGCAGGGGCAGCAGATGACCCTTAAGTAGTCCTGGATCTATGTGCAAAAGCAGCAGCAGCTGCATAGAGTCTCAGCAGGGCTAGCTGTAGAACAGTGTGATTATTCCCATGCATGCCCGTCCTCAAGTTCTTCCTCTTCCTGGAGGTCTGTCCTAATGGATCTCAAGTAGAATGTCACATTTGGGGACACTGAGAAAACTGTAACATCTGCACTTCCAGTAAATCAGTTTGCTATGCTTGCTTTCTAGCCTTCTCTGGGATTTACTGCTATGTAGATGTAGGAGAAACCATGGATACCACTGAAAAGGAGAGCAGTAATGTAGCCGTGGAGGAACTTCAGCAGGAGCTTTTAGCTAACGCGAAGGCATCAGTGCCTAGCAGAAAGAGGGACCACAGTGTGAACAAGATGAGTATGGGGTGTCAAAGAACCACTACTCATTTAAATGCTGTTCTGAGACTGTCTCACGCTCTGTTTTTTCTCTTTCGACCACTGTCCATTACAGATGGACAGTGAAAGCTTCTATGATAACAGCTTAGGAATGGAACTACCAGTCAGGAACTACCGCCAGGAAAACTGCTTCCCCACGGCACACTGCCAACTACCCGTGGCTCCCTAAGCAAGTGACATCCCAGCGCTGTAACCACACTTCCCACTCTGCTCAGGCTCCACACCAGGCTCCCTACCCTCTCTACTCAAGTACTTGGTGCCTCTTCACTGCCACCACATGCTTGCCTTTCATTCATTCCAAGCATCGGTAACTTCTTTCAGGGCAGATGCCCTTTCCACCTCACTGACGCCTGTCAGAGTTGGTGCTCAGCAAACATCTAAGTCTGTTAGTGACAATCACAAAATGGGGGCTGCATACTAACTGCCCAATGTCAGGAGCAGGGGAACACCAGTCACTCAGGTGAGTGGTTAGAGGCCTTCAAGTAGTTAGCCTGATTGCAAATTTGCAGGAGGTAGTCATTGCAGGACAGATGTTTGGAGGCACTGATGCAGAAGGTAAACAGAAAGCAGCTCAAGAAACAGCAGGACAGCTGGCAGGAAGCACCAGTATGCTATTACATGGGCTGAGAACAAAGAACATAATAATCAAGGCTAAAAGGAGGAGGAAGAAGTGGTAACTGGCTTTCCAGAATAAGCAATGGACAATGCTATCACAGTGGTCCATACAATCAACGGTGTCACAGTGACCCAAATAATCATTGCAGCATCCAGAATAGGAGGCGATGGCCAGTGGTATCATAGGGATCGATATAAGTGGTACAGTATCTACCCCAAACACCTGTCCATTACCCAGGGCAATGTTAGCTAAGAAACCTGTACCATGTTAGAAATAATCACACAAAATATTAAGTCAAAACAGAGCGTAGTGGCTCATGTCTAGAATCCCAGCACCACTGAGGCTGAGTCAGGATTGCCTTGAGTGTGAAGCTTTCTGTGGCCTTACAGTGAGTGCCAGGCCAGCCTGGGATATACTGTAAGACTTTGTGTCAAAAAACAAAAACCAGCTGGGCAATGGTGGCCCATGCCTTTAATCTAGCACTCGGGAGGCAGAGGCAAGTAGATCTCTGTGAGTTCAAGGCCAGCCTGGTCTACAAAGCGAGTTCTAGGATAGTCAGAGCTACACAGAGAAACCCTGTCTTGAAACACCAAACTGAAAACAAAACAAAACCACCCCCCCCCCGACACACACACACACACACACACACACAAACAAGCACCAAACAACAGAAAAAGTTACTATCAACTGACAAAACACAGCCTCTGAACTACTCCTCAAAATGACTGTTTATAAAAGAATGCTTTGAACTTTTACTTGAGGTTGGCAACAACTGCAAGTAGACAGACTGGAATACTACAGCGCGTCTACAAGGGCACGCCATCTGGAGAGTTATCTGGTAAATAAAAGAAAGGGACACGTGGGCAAGAATTTTCTTACACCGAAGACAATTACCCAACAGCAATTCACATACAAGCAGCACATTATTGGGGGTTTTCTGGCTGGCTTCCGACTTGCTTTGTGGCTGAGGCTGACCGTTAGCTCTTGATCTTCCTGTTTCCCTTTCCCAAGTATCGAGATTATAATCATGCACCACCACTCCTGGCTTCTTTAAGAAAAGCGTAACTCAAAAGCTGAGTATGTACGGCCACTGTTCTGGTCACCAGGGCAGGCTGGCTGACAAAAGCATGGTAAGGGAACACAGGGTATCGTGGCTCACAGTTTGAGCCCTGGTAGCAGACTGCAGGGCAGCTGTTACACTGTACCCAGGGTCAGGAAGCAGAGAGAGATGAACATGGGTGCTTAGCTTACTTCCTCCTTTTTATTCAGTTTGGGACTCCAGCCACACACCTTCAGAATGGGTCTTCTCTGCTCAGTTAAACCTTTCTGGAAACACCCTTATAGACACACCCAGGTGTACTGGGTGATTTTGTGTCAACTTGACACAAGCTAGAGTCATCAGAGAAAGGAGCCTCAGCTGAGGAAATGCCTCCTTGAGATCCAGTTGTAAGACATTTTCTCAATTAGTGATCAATAGGGGAGGGCCAAGCCCATGGTGGGTGGTGCCATCCCTGGGCTGGTGGTCCTGGGTTCTTTAAGAAGGTGGGTTGAGCAAGCCAGTAAGCAACTCCCCTCCCTGGCCTCTGTATCAGCTCCTGCCTTCCTCCAGGATCCTGCCTTGTTTGAGTTCATGTCCTGACTTCCTTGAATGATAAACAGCAATGCTGAAGTGTAAGCCAAATAAACCCTTTCCTCCCCAACTTGCCTTTTGGTCATGGTGTTTCGTCACAGCAATAGAAACCCTAACTAAGACACCAGGTATTCGTCTATGGTGATTTGAAATCCCATTAAGTTTAACCATTACCTGAACCAATACTTCTAAAACAGACACCTCATGTTTTGAAAACTGTGTCCTTTTATTTATTTATTTTTATTTTTGAGACAAGGTCTCTGTATTTAGTCTTAGCTATCCTGGAACTCACTATGTAGACCAGGCTGGCCTCAAACACAGAAATCTGCGTACCTCTGCCTCCTGAGCACAGGGATCAAAGGCGTGCGCCACCACTTTTAATGACCTCTGTTGTCAGCTATTCCTTAGAATGAGAGTGTACACCAAAGCAACACAGGTTACTCCCTGCATTAGGTCATATTCTTTCACTGTTCTAGGCACAAAGTAGAAATTAAATTCTAGGGTAAATGGGAACTTATTCAATCAGTGACTAGGGGCCAGGAGTCTCAGTGCTCGGGAGACACCCATTTGAGAAAAAGCTTACTTAGTCTAGGCCCAAAGAGAAACAGTAAATTACTTAGTGTTTTTGTACATGACCACAAGCAGGAGACAGGGACCCTAAAAACAAACAAACAAAAACCTCTCTTGATAACTGATATAAAACAGCCTTCTTATAAAAGAAGCAATGGGGGGGGGGGCACTTGAATCTCCCAGACCTGCTGGAGTCAATCAAGGAGAACGTTACCCTCCCTCAGGCCTGTGGGGGTTGCAAGTGGGGCTCTGACTTGCAGAGCATGGACCTGGGCAACCAGGAGCATGCCAGTCAAGCTACAGCACCACAAACTATCCCCAGCCACTGGGCATCATGTACAAGATATGATATGAGGAAAGAGGCTGTGGAGGCATGGGAGGGTCACACACTGTCTGTCTGTCTCTTTACCCCCGCCCCATTCTATCAAGTTCTGTTCATTTACAGAATCCTGGCTTCCCAGGGTTGGGGAACCTCAGGAAAAACCACAATCCATGGAAATCCTGTGCCAGGTTCTGGAGGTGATATTTTGGTTCTAGGCAGCATAGAGCAGGAAGCAGAAGGTTCTCAGATTTATAGAAGAGCATTTGCACTTCTGCTGAGTGCTAGGATTCTGTCTGCTTTGATTTTCATAGAATCTGGGTAGTTCCCCTGACATCCAGTAAACACTCAGTAAATACTTAACTAACTCTGGGAGGAGATACAGAAAAGGAAAGTGACTATATCTACCCCTTCCCAAAGCTGAAACCGGTCCATCTTGAAAACACTGTCCAGGTTCAGACATACATGGACTCATCAGCTATTTGTTGAGTAGCCAGCACCTGTATGTGCCCAGCACATGTCCAATCACTGAGGTAGAGAAGTAGAACAGACTTCTGATTCTACAGAGTTTATGTAAACAGTACGTGCACCCATGTGCGCATGCAGTTGCCTCGAATACTGCCACAGTGTTTCTATTCTGTTCCAGGTGTCTGTGCTGTCTGAGGAGAAAGATTCATGGTTTTAAATACTTTAAAACTTAAACTTAGTATGCAAGATTGTATTACATAAGGTACATATTGTGGGTTTTGTTTGTTTATTTTTTGGTTTGTTTTCAATTTCCAGACGAGTTTCTCTGTATAACAGCCCTGGCTGTCCTGGACCTTACTTTGTAGACCAGGTTGGTCCGAACTCACAGAGATCCACCTGCCTCTGCCTCTCAAGTGCTGGGATTAAAGGCATGGGCCACCGCCGTCTGACCTCATACTGTGTTAAATTCAGACATGACGGGGTTGGAGAGAAGGCTCAGCGGCTACAGCACTTGCTGATCTTGCAGCAGACAAGAGGCTCAATTCCCAGCACCGTCACTGAGCGGCTTACAACCGTCAGGAACTCTAGCTCCAGGAGACTCAGTGCTGCCTCTGGCCTCTGCAGGCACCTACGTGCACACAGGCACTCAGGCATGCATGCACGTGTGAAGTAAATAATGATTTAAAAATCTTTAAATCCAGATAGACTAGAACCTTTTGGATTTCTGAGTCTAATGCCTTCTATTTATGATCATGGACAATAAAGTCTAAGGCATACCATCCCCAAACACAGTGCCTTGGCATTTTAAATCATGAGCTGAGAAAATCTGAGAACTCCTCAGAAGCAAAAGTCAGAAGTCCCTCACATTAGAAGTACTCTTCCTATGAGGTCTCTCTGAAGACCCAGGGACACCAGTATGAGTGCAGGGCCTGGCTAAATTCCCCAGCTGGTCACCACATAGGTAAGTTCCTAGTCTTTATTTCCCAAGTATCAGGTGTCACACTAAATTTGTGTGGTCAAGGTGTTCTTGCTAACATTTATTTTGCTGCAGGTGTACACAAGGATTATTTTCTAATTTATTAGAATTACTTAATTTTTATGATTAAAAGGTCCTACATTTACCACTTAAGACACCATGAATCTGAAGGGACCTAAAAGGGATTTCCATATCATCTTTTATTTTCCATTATTTATACCAGAATTCATTTACTTCTTGTCTTAGTCAATGTTCTATTGCTGTGAAGAAACACCATGACCACGGCAACTCTTGCAAAAAACATTTCCTTGGAGCTTGCTTACAGTTTCAGAGGTTTAGTTCATTGTCGTCATGGCAGGAAGCATGGCAGCACCCAGTCAGACACAGTACTGGAGAAGGACCTCTACAACTGGATCCACAGGCAGCAGAAAGAGCAAGTCACCGGGCCTGGCTTGGGCTTTTGAAAACTCAAAGCCCACCTCCAGCGACACACTTCCTCCAACAAGGTCACACCTCCTAATTCTTGCAAATAGTGTCACTCCCTGCTGACCAAGCATTCAAATCTCTGAGCTTATGGGGGCATCCTTATTCAAACCACCATACTGTCCTTTCTCTATCAGCTACATAAAGAGAAATGTTTGGTTCTTTGTAGACTTCATAAAACTGATAAAGTGTACTTTTCCAAGTGTCAAACTTGCACACAGACAGGAAAGCACTTACTAAAAACAGTACATGCTTCACTTTCTGAGCAAGACACTCCTCATCAACAGTTCAGAATTCTTGAAGTCAACTAAGAGATACTATGAGAAAAAGCATAGAAAAGATTATATTTTAAACTATAACATAACTCTGTGGTTTAAAGTAGATGTTACAGTTCTTGAAAGCATTCCAAAAAACTGATACTTTCCTGGATTTGAGGATTACAGATCAGTCTGCATCATTCTCATCATCCTGCACCACTAGACTCAGTTAGATTTCCCAGGCAACTTCCAAACTAACTTCAAATGTGGCTCAAAACTTGTGGTAGTGGTCTGATTCTCAACGGGTGGGTTTACACAGTGTTTCCTTGTTGCTAGCAAGTTCCCACATTACCTCCATGTCTTACCCAACACCTTTGCTTCAACTAACAATATTTAAGCCTGAAACGAGAACTACGCTTTTGAGATTTACTCTTAGAGATTTGACTCTGATATTTCCCCATACCCCAACGCATACACGAGGCATGTGCAGTGAACTTCTGTTTGTTTTCTCTTGTTAATTTATCTTTGGCCATAAAAGTCTGTTGCAACTTTAATAATGGGAGGAGTAAAGGAAATAATTTTTCAACTTTTCAAAATACACACACACACACACAGAGTGTATACCAGGGTACTTGGCATACAGTATCCTTATATATATATATTTTAAAATAATAATTTATTAAGACTTATTTATTTTATGTATATAGTGCTCTTATCTCCACATACACCTGCACGCCAAAAGAGGGCATCAGATTCCATTATAGGTGGCTGTAAGCCACCATGTGGTTGCTGGGAATTGAACTCAGGAGCTTTAGAAGAGCTGTCAATGCTCTTAACCACTGAGCCATCTCTCCAGCCCTGTATCCTTATATTTTAAAAACGAAAACAAAAATGGGTTAATCAGACAGCTCAGTAAAGTACTGGTGTAATCACAAGGACCTGAGTTTGATCTCCAGCACCCACATAAAAAGGCAGGAGTGGTGGCACGCATTTGTAATCCCAGCAAAGGGGAGACTGAGTGTGGTGTTCGGATAGGTATGGCCCCCATAGACTGATGTGTTTGAATGCTTGGCCCATGGGGAGCAGCACTATCAGGAGGTGTAACCTTGTTGGAATAGGTGTGGCCTTGTTGGAGGAAGTGTGTCACTGTGGGGGCGGCCTTTCAGGTCTCCAATGCTCAAGCCATGCCCAGTGCAGATCAGTTTCCTTCTGCTGCCTGCCGATCAAGATGTAGAACTCTCAGTTGTTTCCCCAGCACCATGTCTGCCTGCGTGCCGCCATGTCCCAACATGATGATCATGGACGGCACCTCTGAACTGTAAGCCACCCCAATTAAATGTTTTCCTTTATAAGAGTTGCCATGGTCATGGTGTCTCTTCACAGCAATAGAAACCCTGACTAAGACACTGAGACAGGTGGATCTCTGGGCACCTTGGCCAGTTACCTTAGCCAAATCAAAAGCTCCAGGTCCCAGTTGGAGATCCTGTCTCAAATAACAAGGTAGATGGCTTCCTAGGAACGACAGTCGAAGGCATGTGTCCTACTACACACAGAGAGACAGTGTGGTGGTGTACACCCGTAATCCTTGCACTTAAGTGAGGGTGGAAGGATCAGTTCACGGTCATGGTTACATGGAGAATTTGAGACCAACATTGGCTACATGAAACCCTGTTTCAAAATAAAATCAACAACAAATAAAAAAGGATATATGAATTATAAGGTTCTTGCTTCCAAGCCCTGCCCCCCAAGTTTGAAGAAGGAACAGCAGGCACTGGAGGTTTGAAGTGACTTGCTATGTGGAGCTATGGAAACTAGCTCCTCCTCTTTCTAGTGGGTGGAGTGGAAGCCACAGACGAATGTAAATTACCCTTACCATCTTGGGACATTTCAAGCAAGCAGGCTCTCAAATGTCTCTAATACTCTAGTTCCCACAGGCCAGAGCTGATAGCATTTCTTACTACCTGGCCAACAGCCTCTTAATTAGCAATGGTCCTTTCCAAAGCTATCCACGCTTTTTTTTTCTTTAAATAGGCTCAATGGCGCTGATGTGTTGGCGGGCACAGCGGAAAAGTTACAAGCCACAGCTACGACTACCAGAGTTAGAAGGAGCTTTATTAGAAGGAAACCAGGCCTGGAGAGGCAGAAAGACGGCGAGAACAGAGCAGAGAGGAAACAGAAAAGAGAAGGGGAGCGCAGGGAGAGTGTGGGGTCCAGTACGAGTCGCCCACTGATGGCGCAAGGCGCCAGACAAGACCCCTGAGCTGCGCATGTTCAGAATCGTAACGGCTGTAGCCAGGCTGGTGTCAAATTCATGGCAATATCCCTGCCTCGGCCTCCCAAGTGCTTGGATTGCGGGTATGATCCACCACAGCTCGCTTCTGATCCACTTCCTTTCCGGCAGCAGAGATTTTCCCGGACAGCAACGCCGGTGACATCTCTGTCTGCACATGGCTCCATTAAATCCATCCAGGGCACTCACTCTGCTCCAGCCTGACTACATCCAGGTATCCAAACCGGGTATGTCCCACCAGGACATTCTAGTCCCTCCTCTCTCAGCCTGTGCGAACTTCCAGCTAAAATGCCATTTCCTCGCACAGAATTCTATGACCTCCCCATCCAAATAGAACCTACCAACTAGAAAACTTAATGAGAATAGGAGATCCTCAGTCTCAGGTGAGACAAAGAGTTCTAGGATATGGCAAGAAAGCAGAATTCGTCGTCTTCTTTTTTTTAATTAAAGGAAACCATTAAAATGAAAACATCTGAAGCTAATCATAGTGGTGCGATAACCCCAGATTCTGGAGACAAAGACAGGATTACAGTTAAGTCTGAGGCCGACACAGTTTACCAGGAAAGTTCCACACCAACCAGACTTACCTAGAGAGCTCTTATTTAAAAAACAAACAAAAACCAAACAAACAAAACAAAACCTCCACCAAAACAAAATACATTACTTATACTTCAAAATATATTGTAAAAACTAAAAATCCCTATGTGAGGAAAATATTGGCAAACTGAAGAACCAGCCTGCCTGCATTTTAGGCTTAAAAGCTATCTTGTAGTAAAGACAAACTAGGCTTATTCCTGTTTATGATTAACTCCGTTTCACAGTACTGGGTCACTCTCCTCCTGTAACCTTAATTACAAATGGTTCTGCACTGCCTGTTCCAGGAATGACAATCATGTTTGTTTCAAAAGTTAATAACCATACTGCAACCCTAATTCTGCTTCAAAATGGTTGCTATGGCTACCTTCTTATGACCACCTGTTGTTACTACCACCTTGCAATCATGCCTTTGCTTCAGGGGGTTGTTAGGACTAACTTGTTATGCTTATGTTCTGCTCCTAAACCCCGCCTGTTCTGCCTGCCAAATCCCCCATTTGGAAACCCCCTACCCCTGAGCTATAAAAGCTCACATCCAATGCTGACATCTTGAACCCCAACTTAGGGGAGGCAGCCTGTGTACCTGAATAAAAAGGCTTGCTTTAGTTAATTTGGCCATGATGATTTGGGTCAATGGTTCCTCTCATCTTGGCACTTTGGGATTAACAAAACCATATATACTCAGATACAGAACTTGTATAATAAATTAGTAGTTACTTTTGCATTGTTATAACCAAAATACTAAAAACAGAACAAAAAACCAAATGAGTTATGGGAGAAAGGTTTGTCTGGGCTCTCATTTTCAGAGGAAAGAGTTCATATCCAGGAAAGTCTACATACAGGAAGCTGACTATGTTTGTCAAGTTGGGATTAGGAACAGAAAGGCATCTTTGGGGATACTGTTCTAAACCAGGCAGTGGCAACAACAGCAACTTTTAAAATGTAGTAGAAACATTCAAGTGTACACTTAGAAAGGTACTTTCATAATCTATATACTATACTTAATGAAACTGTTAGGGCCCCACAACCTCACGGGACTCTGCAGCTGCCTGGAGCACCCATGGTCAAGTGCACCACATCAAGCACTCAGAGGAGAAACAGCACTGTTTCCCTTCTACAAGGCAACGATGTGGCACCAAGAGGCCAGGCTCTGAAGTCAAGACCATACTGCTCGGCCATCTGCCTCACCACTGACCACAAAGTGTCAGATTAACAACCAAGTACAACACAGCAAATGTCTTCTGGCAGGGTACAGGAGTATTTCTGAAGACAGGCGATGAAGGAAGGTCACTGTTAAGCCCCATCTTTGAAGCAGGACACAGACTTCACTCCAAATGTCCTCCCTATATATCCATATCCTCCTTCAAGGCACAGATGTGGAGAAGGCGGACTGCTCGGGCCTTACTGGTCTTCCCTTAACAGCTTACAGATGTTAGCTTGCACCCACTCTGTTCAATAACACTCTGCCCAACTGTCTATACACCGTCAATGTAACATAAAACAGCTTTTCCTTGTTTTGGGGCCTTTACATGACAGAATTTGTGTGTATTTTGGGGGCCTTTACATGACAGAATTTGTGTGTATTTTGGGGGCCTTTCCATGACAGGAGCTATGTGTATCAGGCAAAACTTGCATTGAACAGTTCTTGGCCATGAGCCTGTGATAAACAATAAAAAGATACTTTCTATGAAGCCCTCTGAGGTCACCTGTTATCAGTTACTCCAGCCTCAACACATACTAGGTTCTCAGGCATTTTTCTAGTTGCTTCAGGCTATCAAGTGTAGCATGTCCCCAGACTCTCTAAACATGCCCCTAAGTCCTCAGGTCATTACCACCCTTCTCACCTCGCTTCCCGGTCTCAATCATGTCCTTGTGATACCAAGGTCCCTTTGACTAGGGCCAGGAAGATGTCTTACCTCCCTCTCTTGTCCGCTGAACACCAGGCTTTGAAGAGCCCCATGTACTTGCATGCTGGTGATTTTGCCTGCTCTCCTGCTAATCTGTCTAGTGCTGTAGAATATTATTTTAAGGTGTGTTACTTTTGTTTATGTTACATTTGTTTAACTCTGTGAAGCTGTGTTACTGTGCCTGTCTAAAACACCTGATGGTCTAATAAAGAACTGAACGGCCAATAGCAAGGCAGGAGAAAGGATAGGTGGGGCTGGCAGGCAGAGAGAACATATAGAAGGAGAAATCTAGGAGCAAGAGAAGAAGGAGGACATCAGAGGCCAGCCACTCAGCTATACAACCAGCAATGGAGTAAGAAAGAAAGATATATAGAAATAGCAAAAGGTAAAAGCCCAGAAGCAAAAGGTAGACGGGATAATTTACAGTTGAGAAAAGCTGACAAGAAACAAGCCAAGCTAAGGCTCTGTTATTCAAGGACAAACATGAATTTAGTTGTAGCTCACAGTGGTACAGGCTAAGGCAACTTGGAATGGCAGCTAAGACACCACTCGAATTTCTATGCGACAGAAGCTACTTCTGAAAAATGACACAGAACTAGCTCTGCTCACCAGCCTCCCCTCGCTACCCAAGAGAACAAAAGGCAGACAAAGAAGCCTGCTGGATGGACCTGAGCTGTTAGTCTGTTGGCTGAGCAGGAACAATGCCCCACTTCTGCACCGCCTTCTTCCCTTCCTAACTGCCCTTCCAAAGCAGGCACACTGGCATGGAGTTTCATCACCCAACACTGGACGCACATCACAGAGAAGGGAGGCCAAAGTCAGAGCTGGGAATCACTGACCCAGGCTACTATCTGTCTTTGGGCTCATTTCCCCCAAACAGTTCATCATCCCTTAGAAATTGCTCACACCCTTGCCTCCCTAAAAGCCTTGGTTCCTTCTCCACAGGAAGAGAAGAGTGATGTTTAAATCTCCATCATCTGGCTCTTCTTTGACAACACATTAACTCATCAGTGACTGTCACAGTGTCGTCAGTACACCAGAATCAGCCATCAGGTCTTTAGAGCCGAAAGTCTAACCTTCTTTAGAGAGGACGTGATTTTGAAGATAAGCAAAAGGACACAGAAGGCACTGCCCCAACACAGCTGTGAGCAATGAGGTGTGCTTCGGCTATGGCAGACCGCCCTCCCAGTTTAGGAACAGAACACTTAGCTCTAACTCGGGAAGCATAAACTCCTTGGTCCCGTTGTTGCCTGTCTCCTCTTAAAGATACAACGCAGACACGGAATTTTAAAGAAGTCAGTCATAAGTCCCTAACCCGTTTACCTCGAGTCTGTGGTCACAGCAGCTAAATCATTTTAGGGGGTGAGGGGTGTGCTGGGGATCAGACCTAGGGCTTGTGCATGCTAGGTACATGATGCACCACTGAGCTGTACCTGCAGCTCTGTCTCTTACTACAGCACTTAACACCAGGCCGTTTCTATGTATCACTCAGGTGATCTCTTTACCAATTCAAGGGCAGAAACCAAGGTTCAGGGAAGTTTGGGAACTGAGCTTTCCTGGCCTAGCCCTAGATGTCTGCCTACTGGTTCTACCGCCTGGTATACACATATATGTACAGATTAGGATTAAACCCCATACAACCCTAAATAGGAACAATATTGCTGTTTCCACCTAAACTATTTTATGAGTATATTCTGCAGTCATCAACATTCAAATTAGGAACATTACATCAATATATACATTAACTTACTGAGGTGGAAACAAGTCTTTTCCATTTTTCTCACCGTATAGAAATGTTTGATACCCCTGGTATAACAATAGAAAACTAACACAAAGGTTACTTAAACTTCAAGAGTGTGATTTATCAAAAACTGATAACATTCCTGCAGTCAGTAGCCAGTAACGAGTTTCTTTTTTTAAAAGATTTATTTATTTATTATGTATACAATGTTCTGCCTGCGTGTACACCTGCAGGCCAGAAGAGGGCACCAGATCTCATTATTGATGGTTGTGAGCCACCATGTGGTTGCTGGGAATTGAACTCAGGACCTCAGGAAGAAGAGCCAGTGCTCTTAACCTCTGAGCCATCTCTCCAGCCCAGTAACGAGCTTCTATATAGTACAATGAAGAGCCACTTAGAACATTCTTAAAAATAAGACGTCTCTTATAAGCATTTTCTTCTGCTGTGTGCAGTGAACATAAATTCTTAGCATATTTAAAAGGTCTCTGGTCCTACTGTTAAAGGGCTCTGACAGAAAAGACAGTGAAGATACACTGTCAGCATCACTGAGAATAAAGAGCACTGGGGCTGGAGAGCCGCTCAGCAGCTCAGGGAAGGTACAGCTCTCACATAAGCCCAAAGCTTGGATCCCAGCACCCACATGACAGGATTACAACCACCTGTAATAGCAGCTGCAGGGATCCAATGCCCTCTTCTGGCCTCTGAGAGGAACTGCACTCATATTCTCATCTCCCCCATGCCCCACCACATTTATAGTAAAATAAAAACAGAGCTAGAGAGATAGCTCAGCAGTTACTTAAGTGCTCTTGCTGAGGACCCAGGTTTTGTTTTCAGTATCCACATGGTTGCTCAAAACCATCTGTAACTCCAGTTCCAAGAAATCCAATACCCTCTTCTGACCTCCATGGTTTTCTGAAAGCATGTGGTAAGTATACACATACCCAGACTCATAAACATACACATAAACTAAATATTCAAAGAAAAAATACATCATTTTTAAAAAGCAAGAAAACATGTAGAGACTGCATGACTGGACAACTTCCTTCCTCCCTCTCAACCATACTGAGGGCCCGCCCAGGGCTGCCCAGGTGTCCAACACCAGTGGCACTTTCTCAGCCACCTCTTTGTGTCTAGCAGTCAGGGAGGAGACAGCAAACAGCACAGCACACACGGGGATTTACTAGAGGACTCATTTCAGGGCATGAAAGGGAAGCAGAGCACTCTGAAGAGAAGGATTTGTTCAGTCCCATGAGGTACCCGCTGTAGGAGCTGAGAAAATCACCCCTCGAGCATGAGGCTCTCAAATGTTGAGCTTAGACACAAAGCTAAGACCCAGGTCTCTTAGACCCCCATTTGCCTTCTCTGCAGCACGCTCTCTGGAAATATCTCCTGAAGGAAAACAAGACCTTCCTCATCATTTCATCACACAGAGAGGACAACTTACAGGAAAGGATTCGAGCCCTTGATGTCATACCCAGAGCCCAGGGGAAACTCTGTCTTAGGCCACGGCCCACGGGCATTCATTTCTCTGGAAACCGTTTCTTCCTCCTCCAAAACAGCTACAGTCCTCTTGGTTTTTCTAAATCTGTGGGGTTTCAGATACTACCTCCTTGCTCCTCCTGTGCACATAATTGGGGTGCATGCCTTTTCTCCCATTAGTCTGCTTACTACCAGCATTCCCCAGACTCAGCTGTGGAAATGCCAGAGGGCAGAGAGGCAAACAACAAGCTTCCTTTGGCCTGCGCATTGTCAAAGTTCTGACATCTAAAAGCAAAGAGTCGGACCATATCATCCATGGAATTCTGAATGCTATGTATATATTTATTTCAGCCCACTGTAAACATACTGTTTTCCCTTCAAGGTATCAAAAGTGGATCTAGTCAAGATCTCCAAAGTGCATAGAAATAACCTTCCTCCAGCAGTCATAGCGCTGCCCTTCAAGCTGTTCCATCCAAATGCTTAGAGTACACTGTGGGGGAGGAGGAGGCGGGGAGAGAATGTCCAATCATTTCAAGAACAAGTTTCTTTGGAGTTATTTAGACATGAAAAAAATTTTCTACTTAATTAGGTAGCAGTAATACCATATAATATTTCTACCAAAATAAGTGTCCCAGGCTATTTATTTAATACAACCTTAAAATAAGAGTGAGGTGGTTCTGATTGCAGACTAATGTTTTCCACATGTGGTTACAAGCACTTTTTTTTTTTTTTGCATATAGAAATACAGACACAACTTTCTGCTTTTTGTTCCCTGCCAAAGCACGGAATGTTGCTGTGTTGCCCGACTATCTTACTTAGGGGTCTGTACAAACCCTACCACCCACGTAAAGCATTTCTTCCTGTGACTTTCATGAAAACCCCTTCCTTTGGGTTAAATTAAACACTGGGTTAAATTCCAGTGTTAAATTTAAAAGGGAAGAGAAAGCACAAGTGCACGCCTCTAATCCCAGAGCTTGGGAAGCAGAGGCAAGTGGATCTTTGTGAGTTCAAGGACAGCCTGGTTTACAGACTGAGTTCCATGACAGCCAGGCTGTATCAAGAGACACTGTCCTCTCTCCCTCTCAAAAGGATACTGTGACATAAATCTGCTTAATACTGGTCTGAGAAAACAAAATATTTGTTCTTAACAATGCAAAACCCTATGAAGGTGATTAGTAGGGCTCAATCAAATATCTGAAAAAAGAATAAGAAGTGAAGGAGAAAAGAACCCATCATTTCCTGTTTTCCCAGATCACATGTCATCTCCAGGACCTCCTTTCCAGTTATAACAAGTATTTTGGCACTGCACCTCCCAAATGCACAAACAACAGCACCAGCACAACAACAACAAAAATGTCCTGTGAAGTCTGCAAAGATGGCTCAGTGGATAAGGCGAGCTCTTGCCCACCCAGGCCTGACGACCAGACTCCAGACCCTGTTTAAAGCCAGGCCTGTGGGCACCACTTGTGATTCTAGCACTGTGGGGCAGAGACAGGTCCCGGGGCAGGCTGGCTAGCTAGGTCAGTTAGCTCCAGGCTCTGCAGGAAATCAATCTCAATCTCAATCTCAATCTCTCTCTCTCTCTCTCTCTCTCTCTCTCTCTCTCTCTCTCTCTCTCTCTCTCTCTCTCTCTCCTAACACAAATAGGAAAATTTCACAAGCCCCAAACCCTAAATGAAGAGCTGCAGGCAATCAATGGCTCCTGAAAGAAGGTGACTCAGTCTTCTCCGGGCGTGAGTCCCCACGCATTACACAAACTCAAGTAGACAGCCCCACACTCATGGACATAAGAGCAACAAGAAACAAGGCTCAGTAGGATAGGTGTGTATACATCTATGTATGTATACATGTATGCATAACAATAATTTATAGAAGAAAAGATCATTAATCAGAGAGGGAGTGGGGCGAGAAGGAGGGGTAGAAATAATGCAAACACAGTACTCATATTTGAAATTTAAATTTTTAAAAAGATGTCTGCTCAGAAAGGAAAGAGAAGGTACTATCAAAGTTGTGTGATCTGGCGGTCACAACAGCAATTTGCCATATTCTTTCTCTCAGAACTTTAATTTAGGCTGTGGTAGTTTGAATGTAATTGACCCCCATAATCTCATATGGAGTGGCACTATTAGGAGGTGTGGCTTTGTTGGAGTGGGTGTGGCCTTGTTGGAGGAAGTGTGCCACTGAGGGGAGTGGACTTTGAGGATTCCTGTGCACAGGATACCGCCCAGTGTCTCAGTTGACTTCCTGTTGTCTGCAAGATGTAGAACTCTCAGCTCCAGCACCACATCTGCCTGCACACTGCCATGTCTTACCATGATAATGGACTGAAACTCTGAACTGTAGTCACCCAACTAAATATTTTCCTTCGTAAGATTTGCCGAAGTCATGGTGTCTCTTCACAGCAATAGAAACTCTAACTAAGACAGAGACAAATGACAAAAATACCTTTAACAAACAAAACAAAACAAAAGCCTATCTGGTTCGAGATGACCTGGCCAATCACACACAATGTAAGTTTTCAGTGTGGTCCCAGGCTCTTCAAGCTCTCAGCTCTGGGAAGCTGTGCCTCCTCCCCTGCTGTGGAAAGAGCACTGTGTGTAGTGAGATCAAGAAGCCAAGGAAATGATGGGGAGGGCAGGAGGAAAGGCAGCAGGAAGTGGTGGGGAGGGCAGGAGGAAAGGCGGCAGGAAGTGATGGGGAGGGCAGGAGGAAAGGCGGCAGGAAGTGATGGAGAGGGCAGGAGGAAAGGCAGCAGGAAGTGGTGGGGAGGGCAGGAGGAAAGGCGGCAGGAAGTGATGGAGAGGGCAGGAGGAAAGGCGGCAGGAAGTGATGGAGAGGGCAGGAGGAAAGGCAGCAGGAAGTCGTGGGGAGGCAGGAGGAAAGGCAGCAGGAAGTGGTGGGGAGGGCAGGAGGAAAGGCAGCAGGAAGTGATGGGGAGGCAGGAGGAAAGGCAGCAGGAAGTGATGGGGAGGCAGGAGGAAAGGTAGCAGGAAGTGATGGGGAGGGCAGGAGGAAAGGCAGCAGGAAGTGATGGGGAGGGCAGGAGGAAAGGCAGCAGGAAGTGATGGGGAGGCAGGAGGAAAGGCAGCAGGAAGTGGTGGGGAGGCAGGACGAAAGGCAGCAGGAAGTGGTGGGGAGGGCAGGAGGAAAGGCGGCAGGAAGTGATGGGGAGGGCAGGAAGAAAGGCAGTAGGAAGTCGTGGGGAGGCAGGAGGAAAGGCAGCAGGAAGTGATGGAGAGGGCAGGAGGAAAGGCAGCAGGAAGTGGTGGGGAGGCAGGAGGAAAGGCAGCAGGAAGTGGTGGGGAGGCAGGAGGAAAGGCAGCAGGAAGTGGTGGGGAGGGCAGGAGGAAAGGCAGCAGGAAGTGGTGGGGAGGGCAGGAGGAAAGGCGGCAGGAAGTGATGGGGAGGCAGGAGGAAAGGCGGCAGGAAGTGATGGAGAGGGCAGGAGGAAAGGCAGCAGGAAGTGGTGGGGAGGCAGGAGGAAAGGCAGCAGGAAGTGGTGGGGAGGCAGGAGGAAAGGCAGCAGGAAGTGGTGGGGAGGGCAGGAGGAAAGGCAGCAGGAAGTGGTGGGGAGGGCAGGAGGAAAGGCGGCAGGAAGTGATGGGGAGGGCAGGAAGAAAGGCAGTAGGAAGTCGTGGGGAGGCAGGAGGAAAGGCAGCAGGAAGTGATGGGGAGGGCAGGAGGAAAGGCGGCAGGAAATGATGGGGAGGCAGGAGGAAAGGCAGCAGAAAGTGGTGGGGAGGCAGGAGGAAAGGCAGCAGGAAGTGATGGGGAGGCAGGAGGAAAGGCGGCAGGAAATGATGGGGAGGCAGGAGGAAAGGCAGCAGGAAGTGGTGGGGAGGCAGGAGGAAAGGCAGCAGGAAGTGATGGGGAGGCAGAAGGAAAGGCAGCAGGAAGTGATGGGGAGGCAGGAGGAAAGGCAGCAGGAAGTGGTGGGGAGGCAGGAGGAAAGGCAGCAGGAAGTGGTGGGGAGGCAGGAGGAAAGGCAGCAGGAAGTGATGGGGAGGCAGGAGGAAAGGCAGCAGGAAGTGGTGGGGAGGCAGGAGGAAAGGCAGCAGGAAGTGATGGGGAGGGCAGGAGGAAAGGCAGCAGGAAGTGGTGGGGAGGCAGGAGGAAAGGCAGTAGGAAGTGATGGAGAGGGCAGGAAGAAAGGCAGCAGGAAGTGGTGCGGAGGCAGGACGAAAGGCAGCAGGAAGTGGTGGGGAGGCAGGAGGAAAGGCAGCAGGAAGTGGTGGGGAGGCAGGAGGAAAGGCAGCAGGAAGTGGTGGGGAGGGCAGGAGGAAAGGCAGCAGGAAGTGATGGGAAGGGCAGGAAGAAAGGCAGCAGGAAGTGGTGGGGAGGCAGGACGAAAGGCAGCAGGAAGGTAGCCTGGGCTCCAGCTTCCCCAGGGACCCCAAGGCAGGACAAGCCAGAACTCAGGAGATACACTCAGTTGTTCAAATGTAGGCACCATGAAACACGAAGCAAATTTACTCATGAAATTTTGTTAATCACAGAATGAGAGAACTACAAGGGATCATTGTAGAGAATAATTTAACTATTCTATATCAATATGCAGCAAGTCATTTCATGCTATACAACAAAATAAACTGTCCCTGTCAGGTCATCATCAAGGTTACTGCTGATGCCAAGCTTGCCAAGATGCAGACCAGGGGTAAGAGCACACCCCTGAAATCCCACCACTTGGGAGATGGAGACAAGATCAGGAGTTCCAGCCAGGGCTACATGAGACCCTGTCACAAAACAAGTGCATTCTGTTGTGTGAGGATATATGAAACAGACTATTACAGAATGCTAAACCAAGTGTGAACCAGCACATTCACTCTCAAAAACCAATGGCCAGGGCTGAGGGTAGTTCCTAGCATCCATATCATGCAGCTCACAACTGACTATAACACCAGCTTCTGGGGATCTGACAGCTTCTTCTGTTATCCAAGGGCACTGTACTCACATGCACAAACTCACACATGTAAACACTTAACTTTTTTTAAAGCTAATGACCATGCCAGGTGGTGGTGGCACAGGCCTTTAATCCCAACACTCTGGAGGCAGAGGCAGGTGGATGTCTGTGAGTTTGAGACCAGCCTGGTCTACAGACTGAGTTCTAGGACAGCCAGGGCTACAAAGAGAAACCCTGTCTAGAAACACAAAACAAACAAACAAACAAAAACACACATACTAAGAAGCATGAAGACTGTAGCTCAGGAACACTGTGTATAGACAAAGATGCTATGTAAACTATGGTTGAAATAAAGCTGAACTGGTCACCTCCAAAATGACCAATGGTATAAAAGCGATTTTTAATGTGTTAATGATGTGAGGTGATACTTCATAATTAACAATCTAGCTGGGTGTGGTGGCAGAGGACTGCAATTCAAGACTTAGCTGGCTGAAGCAGGAGGACGGCCATGAGTTCCAAGACAGGCTGGATTACAATGAGATCCTTTTTCAAAACAAGAGCAGCAACAACATGCCATCTGGCAGCAAAGGTGGTTTCAAACCTGATGGTTTCAAACCTGGTGGTTTCAAACCTGGCAGCACTCACAATTCTTCTTCAGGATGTCTCAGTTACTATTCAGCAGAGTCGGTCCAGACAAGAGTGGCGAGAAGGACAAAGCCTCTCCAGCTACCATTACCAGAACGACCTGACTGACCCTCAGGAAGGGTTACAGAAAGCAAGGTCCCCCTAAGTTTGTGAACAATCTTCAGAACTGCCCAAGGGTGAATTCTACATGGGGCAGGATGTTGGGTTATAGGATGTGAAGTGTTCTCCTTAGGTACTACCAGAGGGCTGGAAACACAGCTCCACACTGCTGCCTGCAGCATCCTGAGGAATCCATGACTGTGCACCAGAAAAAGAATTTCAGGACAAGCCATTATAAAGCTGAGTTGAGAGCTGGAGTTTATTAGGAAGAGATTCCAACACAGATCTAACTACAGAAAGTAGTGCAGGTTAGAAAGAGAGGAACTCAGGGAAAATATAAAACATGTCTACATATAGGTATGGGCTTCTCAAGGGAGCATCACACTTAACTGCCTTTACAAAACCCATACATATGATATTGCTGAGTTCTTTAGCTGTACCTTTAAAGGATTGATAAAGTATTTAAGTGAGCTCACAGGATGGTTCCTAAAGTGCAGTGGATAAGAATGCTACTAATAGGTAAAGCCCTAGATCACAGAGAAGTCTTCACTGTATACAGACTCTACTAATCTTGCTTGTGAAAATACCCAGATATCTGGGAGATGAATAGGCCATAGGCCTTAAGTGTCGTGCATGGTTGTTTTTTTGTTTGTTTTTAAAGACAAGGTCTCATATAGCTCAGGCTGGCCTTAATTATGTAGCCAAGAATTACTTTAAACTTTTGATTCTCCTTCCTCTACCTCCCAAACACTGAGATCACAGGGGTATAACAGCACAGGGTTTTATACAGTGCTGATGACTGAACCTAGGACTTTGTGTATACTAGCCTACATTGTGCAACTGAACTACATCCCCACAGCACCCTACCAACTGACCTATTTCCCCATAGCACTCTGCCAACTGACCTATATTCTCATAGCACCCTACCAAGTGAAATATATCCCCCCCGTAGCACCCTACCAACTAAACTATTTCCCCAGCCTGTTCTTTGGTATTGTAACATTTTTATTAGAAATCTATCTATCTACCATCTATCTATCTATCTATCTATCTATCTATCTATCTATCTATCTATCTATCTATCAATCAAAGGAATCATTGCCTGTAGCAGGAATCTTAAATGGTCTTATTTAATAAAACAAACCTGGGCCAGGTATTAGGGTGAACTGGAAGATCAGAGAACCAGAACAGGCCACAGCTACCTCACCTCACCGGATCCTCAGCTGGTCTTGTTTCCTCAGATTGGAGGCCTCTGAGTCCAGAATGGGTCTCAGCTGAATTGCTGCTCAAAGGCCTGAATGCTTAACTAGGCCAAATGCTTAACCAGGCCAAATGCTTCTAGTTTCTGGTCCTCACGCCTTATATACCTTTCTGCTTTCTACCACCACTCCCTGGGACTAAAGGCTCGCTTTCTGGGATTAAAGGCGTGTGTCACCATGCCTGGCCATTTCCAATGTGGCCTTGAACTCACAGAGATCCAGAGGGATTTCTACCTCTGGAGTGCTAGGATTAAAGGTGTGAGTGCCACCATTTTCTAGCCTTTGTATCTAGTGGCTGTTCTGTCTCTGACCCCAGATAAATTTATTAGGGTACACAATATTTTGGGGAACACAATACCACCACAATTGCCAGGTGTGGTGGCTTAATATCAGCACTTTGGAGGCAGAGGCAGGAGGAGCTGAGTTTGAGGTCAACCTGGTCTACACAGCAAGCTCTAGGACAGTCAGGGATACATGTAAGACCCTGGCTCTCAAAATAAACAAACAAACAAAGATAGATAGATAGATAAATAGATAGATAGATAGATACATGCATACATACATACATAGATACATACATAGATGATAGTCAGTCTCTCATGGCAACCTTCCTAGCAAATGTTGTTAACTGTGGTAGAATTCTTGAGTCTCGCCCAGGAAGAGAAGGCTTCAGGCAGACTCTGGGTGCGGAGCCCCTTCTTCCCCTCCCATGTCTACTTAATTTCCCATTACTCTGCCCTGCTGCAACACAATGCTAAAGCACAAAGTGGAGCGGCACTGTCTGAGAGTCCTTTAAAGTTGTGCTCAGACATCACTATCAGAGCTTCAGGAGACTAGTTTAGGAACAGTCAAGTATTTCATGTCAGACTCTGGCACAGAACCGGGAGGGGATCTGGAGGCCTTCAAATGTTTCTTTCAATCCTGTTTGGAGCTTCAACCTAACACCACGAATTCAGAGGAATTCTTCCAAAGCTCTGGAACATAAATCAGTTTGTTTAAAAATAAATAAATAAAAAACAAGAGGTTCTTGTTCTTGTCTTTAAAATAGCCAGGTATAACCAAACAAAGAGCAGGTAAGTTGTTAGAATACAGAAAGATCAAGTTTCCATAACATATTAACTGCTAAAGCTTGTAAAACATACATTTGTGTGGTTGGAGAGAAGAGGCAAAATATAAATGCAGTACACATAGGAAAACTGAACACAGACAGACAGACTCTGTCTAAATGTACTATCTACTTTCTATGGTGATATTTTATTTGTACTAAAATGTTATTTGTATGTTAATAAATAAAGTTGCCCGGGGGTCAGAGCTATTAGCAAGCCATAGGAAAGCAGGGCAGTGGTGGCGTACGCTTGTAATCCCAGCACTTGGTAGGCAGAGCTAGGTAAGTCTCTGTGTGTTCAGGGATACAGCCAGTATTGGATACACATGCCTTTAATCTCAATACCAACCAAAGGAGACCTGGAGGTCTGTACAGACAGGCAGTGACCAGGCGGTCATGTGGTTGGGTTTACAACCAATGAGAAGGCAGAACAGAAACTATATATAAAGACTTTAACCCAGGAAGTAGCTCTCTTTTGGAGAGGTAGGACCACCGCAGGAGGAAGGGTAAGGTTTTAGCTCTTAGCTCTGACCTCTTGGCTTTCTTCTTTGCATTGGTTCTGTGTTTCTTATTTAAAAAGACGGTAGGTTACATCTACAACTTTCTTCTGAGGGATCCCTGTTGCAGAATGAGGGAGGCATGCCGGGGTGTTTAACTGTCCAGTCTCAACTTTCTCACTGCACTGGTTGTGATGCTGAGATAAGGGACTGAAGCGTACAGCTGTGGCACATCTGAAATACCTAGCAAGTAATAGGTTCCACTCGTCACAATGTGTTTTCTTTGTTTTGCTTCAGTGCTGGGGATTGAACCCCGGGCCTAAGGGATGCTAACTAAATTACACTAAATAGGCCAAACTAACTTACTGCAATTTTAATAGAAAGAAAAGTATTCCACATCTTTAAACAGCATTGCTGATTTTATGGGCTTACTATATATTATCTTCACTAAATGAGAAAACAAATTCTGATGGCATGACAAGCTGATACATTCAAGTATTATCCGACCTCTTTCTCACCTTTTTTTTTCAATGCTGAGGATCGAACCCAGTGCCTCACACATGGCAGGCAATGTTCTGCCCTGAAATGTATCACCATCCCCATTTAAATAAAGTCACACCATTGAAATTACTGTGATCTTACTGCAAATACATTTTCCTTTCCAGTTAAAAATAAACCAATCACCTTCCCACAGTAAGTTTCTGATTTTCAATTTCATCTCATCCATGGCTATAGTATATAATAAATTCTCAAAATGAGAAACAGGGTTTTAAAATGAATAGCATACTATTCTTAATATAAACATTGCTGTCTTCTATAAAAATAATATTAGAAAAATGGTAAAATGTGCATATCAGCATATTCCAGTGGTTTTAGTCATCTCTCCTATTGCAGGATGACCACTGATTCCTCAAATGTAAGTGAATCACATTTCATACAGCCATGTGCACACAATGGGCACTCCTGAGTAAGGCTAGGTAGATGAGAAGGACAGGACCAGGGGTTCCTCAGATCAGCTGGTCACCTGACTTCTCCCTTGGTCTGTACTCCACTTAAAAAGCCATCACAGCCAGTAGTCTTCTGAGTTAGTGGGAACTTCACAGCTGCCTTCAAAAGTATAACCAGCAGGTCCGGAGGAGACCACAGGTGACTTCTTAGCACCAACCTCCAAAAAAGCTGAGACAAACCACGAAGCATCACATGCACTCAACAGGTAAGCCTGACAGGCAGTATTTCCACAGAATCCTTTTTGTGGTACTAGAATTTAGTTTTATGAAAGGTACAATTCTATGTTCCACCAAAAGGGTAATGAAACAGAATTGCTGTATTTTTTCATGATATCAAATGTGTTATGCAACAAAACCTTGTGCCAACTGGTTTCTAAAATGATCTATTGCTATAATTATTGATGATGCAATAATGATTTATAATCTTTCTAAGAAATTGAAGGATAGCATTTAAGGGTCATAACCCTCAAGTTCCATTTTTATGTAGTTTAATACATAAACAAGCTGTTGGAGTGCCAATATCCTCTCCAAAACAAAATATCATCTTAGAGAGCATAGGTCAGGCCACACCATGGTATCTGACCAAGTATCAGAATAAAGACTTAGCTGGGTTTGAAAAATAAACTGCTCTGCTGGGCAGTGGCACACGCCATTAACCCCAGCACTTGGGAGGCAGAGGCAGGTGGATTTCTGAGTTCAGAGCCAGCCTGGTCTACAGAGCAACTTCCAGGACAGCCAGAGCCACACAGAGAAACCCTATCTTGAATCCCCACCCCCACAGAAAAAGGGAAGAGAGAAAAATAAACTACCCCAGAATCAAAATTAAAAGGATATAAATTTCCATGTATTACAGGACACAGCTTTCTTCAAACATCTTTACCACAATATATAAACAAGCTTCTAAAAAACAAATACCCTTATATACTGACATATATTTTCAAGAGACCAAGAGCACTTATTTTCTTCGCCAGAATTCATCAACAAATTAAAATTGTAAGGAGTAATTTCCTAGGTTAATCATTGTAAATCATGCCCATTCTAAACCGTTCCTCTTAGTCCCTGTAACGCTAAGTATGCCGGAGAGGACGCACAGCTGTTATGCAGTCTCTTGAAGGGCTCTAAAAACAACAACGCTCAAGTTCCCCCTGTCTCCACTCTCACTGGCTTTTCCCTCACTACCTAACAAGTAAAATAAGCAAGAATACAGTACATTCCCAACTGGAGTTCAAGTTCCTAAATTCCTCACTTTTATAAAGAATTCAGTTAATACATTTAAGGGATAGTAGAGTGTGTGCCTACATACCTGAGGCTCTCACTTCAATTTCTAAACTACACAAAAAGAAAAAAAAAGTATTAGAGAGACATGAGACAGGAAGGATAATTCTTTAACTGACTTTAACTCTAACTTGCAATCTCAAAAACAGAAAAGATATGATAGAGACTGGGGCCCACACACACGTCTTTCAGGCTTCTACCTGTCAGGGCATGATATATATATACATGAAACATATCCCGACATATGCTATCTTAAAGGACTAATGGGAATTTTTAAAATGCAGAAACCAGAAGAAATCATTTATCAGTTACCTCTAAGGATAGAATCACACTACTCAACAAAAAACACTCAAAACTAATTCTTAAGGTTTATCTTTTCCAGCAAATTCTACAGGTTTATATGCTTCTATATGTATACAGAAAATGTCACATTTAAAACTATATCCTCAGCCAAAGGGTGATAAGAAGTACACTCAAGTTCTGTAAACTTATAAAAATAATATGCTTTAAATCTGTATGAAGCATTATGACATTTTTTTTTTTGTTTTTTCGAGACAAGGTTTCTCTGTGTAACAGCCCTGGCTGTGCTGGAACTCACTTTGTAGACCAGGCTGGCCTCAAACTCACAGAGATCCATCTGCCTCTGCCTCCAAAGTGCTGAGATTAAAGGCATGTGCCACCACACCCGGCTTCATTAAGACATTTTTAAAACCCATCTTAGAGTCAGTCATCTTAGATGAACCCATGGAGTAGCCTGGGGTGAACTTTAACTTTATCCTGTCCCCAGATATGGTCATATACTTCACTGTGCTACTTTCTGCTTCGAAAATGAACACCTTAGCAGCAAGGATGCAGAATCGTAAAAAATGTACTGGCATTTTAGCTTTTAATATAAATGCTGCTTCATGAAAACATCTGTTTGGGAAATTTCACCTGATGGATGAGAAGATGTGTATTACATATGCAAATGTCCTAGATCCCTATGCAGAAATCATTTATTCTTGGAATTAATTTAACAGTAATTACTTATTGATAATACACAGAAAATAAAGCTCTCACTAAAATACAGTGTTTACAGGTTCAAATCAGGTTAAACTTAATTTCAGCTTTTTAATAATACTTCATCATGCAGTTATAACAATTTTAAAGAAAAGCACCTAAGGAAAAACATGAAATAAAGTTCCACCTACAGGGGCTCCTCTGACTGTTTTCCTTGGGTCCTGGAGATGACATGGTTTAGAACTGGACAAACAGGCTGAAGCGGAGCTGGTCAAGAGGAACCTCCAGTTACCAGGCAGCTCCCCTCCCGTGCATCTTCTGAGATGTAGAACAAAGGAAGAGAGGCTGCAGCCAGAACCCGGTTTTTGTTTTCAGTTTTTTTCTTTCAAAGAAAATGTATTGAGCCTGTTAGTCTCCCGATGTTTCTGATGGCTTAAGCAGACATACACCAGAATCTACTGCCTCTATAAAGCAAAATGCAAGCTCTCGTGGGCTTTGGTATACAAAGATGTATGCACTGATCTGGGACCATACCAAATGATCCTAAAAATGGGGGTGGGGTGAGCTGGAAATATACTAAATCCTTCTAAATTTGTCATCTAGGCAAATCAAAGATGCATTAGAAACACTCTAAAAAGCACAAGAAACGTTAATGTCTAAAAGTGGGAAAATAAAAATAAAGGATATGCTTGCTTCATAACACATAGGAATCTTTAAATTTCCCCTACCTCATTTAAATGTAGCGCTAGGAAAGGTTCCCCTAATTGAGTAGCACTAACCAGTGGATTGGAAAGTACAGTAAGTCTTCAACCGGCACACTGCTGGCAGTGACCATAGTCAACAGCAGTGCCTGCTCAAGACTGCTGTCTGCTGCTGTCCTGCAGGTGGCCACTCCTACTCTATTCTTTCATCAGCGTCTTTCCCCTTTCTGAGCAAATATATTTTCTTTAAAAAATAAAAAAGGAATCTGCCTTTAACCTAACCCTCTCTCCCACGCTTTCTCACTTAGCCTTCGTTTTGTTAATTGTGTGTTTGTGTGCATGCAGATGGCTGCAGAGGCCAGGGGCTTCAGATCCCTGCCAAATGTGGTGCTGGGAACCTAACTCAAGTCCTCTATAAGAGTAGTGCACGCTCTTCTAACTGCTGAGGCATCTCTCCATCCCAATTCAAGTCTTTTAAATAGCTTTCCGTTATATCTCTCTGCCCCCGCCCTCTCTCTCCTTCCCCTTTTCTCCTCTGTGAGACCAGCTCTTGCTATGCTGCCCAGACCAGTCTCTTCTCATGGGCTCCCTCCGTCTCTGAAGGAGATGGGATCACAGGCACACGCCAGTATATGCAACTCAATTAAGCTCTCTCATCTTGGACCTGATCCCCTCCACTCTACCCTCCTGAGAGATCCCAGAAAATATAAAGCAGATCTGATCCTGTGATTCTAACTGGAACTCCTTAGGTTCTTCAACTCTCTAATTTGCTTCTCTCAAATGAACCTCTATATTCTCTTGAGCATGGGCTCTCCTAAGAAACAAAAATCTTCAACAAAAACCTTTTACATATGATTACTTATATATTATATAAATGAATTCCTATATTTAAATTTACAAATACACAGATTGGAGTTGAGAATGTGGCTCAGTTTATAGAGTACTTGCCTAGAATGCACAAAGCCCTGGGTTTGATCCTCAGCATCACAGAAACCTGGCATGGTATAAACACCTGTAATCCCAGCACTTAGAAGTGAGGCAAGAGGATCTGAAGCTCAAAGTCATCCAAAGCTACATAGCTCAAGGCCAGCCTCAATTACATGAAAAATTGATTCAAAAACAAACAACACACAAAATCAACATTTAAAAGACTGACAGGAAGAGGGGAAAACATGAGACAAATCACACGCATGCATGCACGCACGTGAAAAAAAAAAGAGGAATTCTAGTCATCTTCCCTGTGCCCAATGTTTTGTACTCACACCCATTTGTGGAGACCACTGGTCCAAAGGAAAAGTCTAAACCCCGTGCACAACAAACAAGTCTGTGTATCACTTGCTCCCCAAGTGTCCAGCTCTACCCCTCACTTCATCCCACACATCATATGCTTCAGTGATGACAAATTATTTGTAGTTCTTTCAACGAACAAGAAATTAAAACTGTAGCTTCAATTCTTGAAAAAAAATCTCTGTATTCTTGCAAGTGTTCTTTCCTCTTTCTGAAGTGTCCTTATATCCTTTAAGGCCTGCAGGTACTTATCATTCAGACTGAGTGACACTGCCTACCTCCAGTTTATTACCCCATTTTAGTGTGTTTATCCCCACTCTTCCTAAATAATATTCTAATTATGTTTGCCTTTATATCCTGTTGGGAGTCTCCAGATTGGGGCCCCATCCCAAGCCCCACCCAGATGTTCAGCTGGAGCTCAGATCCACTCCTCCCATTCCAGACACTGCCCAAAGAAAGCCTGGCAAGCCTGGCTCCTCCCCCTGAGGGTATTTAAGGCCCCTCCTTGGGAGCAGTTTTGTGGTTTCCCCTTTCCTGAGACCACCCAGGGATGCTTTGCCCAAATTAAACCTGGTTTTATTAATTCAGCTGAACTGGCTCACGCACAATGGAGTCACCCACCACCAGGGGAGGTTTTAGTTCTCATATCCTATATGCTCTGGCAGTCTGTTAGCTCCATTAGGACTGAGGGTGGTTAGTTATGTCATCTAACCTGAGTCTTTGTGAACTAATAGTACCAAATGGCAGCTAAAACAGTGTTGTCTCAGATGTTGGCACAACTAAACTGAACCATCAACTGCTATGCCAAGCTTAACATGTACTATCATTAATTTGATTTGAAACATACAAAGTGTGCCAGTATATGCACAAGCTACACGTCAGAGTCACCCAACAAGTGAGAATTCTAACATTTCTGAAGCCTCCAGTGAGGTGATGTGGTGGTCTGGATGAGAATGGTCCCCACTGGCATGAACTGCATGGCGACCATTGCTGCTTCACAAAGTTCCAGCATTTCCACATTGCAGACCACACTTCTCCAGCACCTTTTAAACTTTCATTTTTAATGATTCTCACTATTAATGCCTTTCCCTTTGGGAAATTTTGTTTGGGCGTAGCTAAAGGATGAAAAAATTCTTTAGAAAAACCTTCCTGCCACCACAGAGACAGGAATTTCAATGTGCCCTCCTAATTACACCAAGAACAGGAAAGTTAAGACACACTTGATCCCAAGGATGAACTACCTACAAATCAGATCCAGTAAGGGCAAGAGTCCAGTTCATAAATACAGAGAAATCAGAATGGTACAGTATAATGGGAAAAGAGTAAGACATCAGGACCTTCCCTTTTGTTATGAGGGGAACAGGCCCATATAGTAAAACTAAGACATTGTAGCATACTGTCTGGTTCTCAGAAGTCATTTTCCCAGGGTCAGGCAGTTGGATAAAGGTCTCTATGCCCTGAGGATGTCTCCTCCCCTCTTTTGAGGAAAGTTCCTGCTTGCTAAAGCAGTCATTCTTCTTATCTCTAGCAAGAGGAACTTGTGGCCCTTCATTAAAATATGACTGGTGCCTACTGTCAAGGTCAGTATCACAAGATCAGTATTGAGCCCTGATCACAAGCCACACCCCAGCTCACATGCTCCTTTTCTCCAGTTCAACCCTATGTGCGACTACAGAGTATCAAAGGTGCAGTCTTTTTCCAAATAAACGCACTGGCAGCCATCCTGATTTATCCTCAGATCCTGTCCTCCACCTCCCCTGGCTCCCCTCACCCACTCCAACTCCACACATCCTTTCTGGGACCTGAATTCCCCACCTCCCCCCAACTTCTACCAAAGCAAGTCTCCAGTGCCCCATGGACTCATAGGTTTGAATGTTTGGTCACCAGGGAGTGGCATTATTTGAAAGGATTAGAAGGTATGGCCTTGTTGAAGGAAGCATGACACTGGGGGTGGGTTTTGAGATTTCAAAAAAGCTCATTCCAAGCCCAGAGTCTCTCTTTTTCTTGCTGCTGCCTACAGATCTGGATGTAGAACTCTCGGCTACTTCTCCAGCACCATGTCTGCCTGCACACCACCATGCTCCCCTCCATGACAATGGTCCACTGAACTGTAGGCCAGCCTCAATAAAAGGCTTTCCTTTATAGACATTGCTGTGGTCATGGTGTCTCTTCATAGCAACAAAACTCACTAAGACAGGCGATCTCTTCAACTTGATGACTTCTATTTTCATTCACATTCAGCTACCATCAATTCCGAGACTTTCTCTATCTCTAAAAGTCTCAAAATGAAACAGACCTGTTTTGACCACGAACTTCTTCCCCTTTTTGGCGCCTACCCCACATTTTCTTGCACGCTTATTTTGCTGGTCTGTGTTAGCATTCCAGCCACCAAGCAAAGGGTCTGCATGACTGCACAATGGGCGCAGCGTGGTCACACAATCTGCGCATGCGTGGCATAGCTCATATGCGAATGTGCAGGGGAATCCATAAGAAGCAGACACAGACCCCTCCCCACTCTTCCTCTTCTTCCTTCTCCTTCCCACTCTCTCCCTCTGCATTTGTCTTCCACAGGCCTGGTCACGCTATCTTGGGTCCCTGCCCTCTCCCTTCTAATAAAACTCTGCTCTGATAATGAGTTTTGTCGTGTCTTGTGGCTTTTCTCACAAGGTAACATTGTGCCTCCTCATGGCTTATAGATTCAACAGTCTGGTCAGGCCTCCCATATTCATTCTAAACTTCATGGCCAAGTTTCATTCATACTTACATTGTCACCTAAGAAAACTAGGCCTTGCAGATACAACAATTATACATGCTCTTTTCATTTCAACTTCCTACTAAGCAAAACACATTTGTTTTTTATTCTGTTTGTTAAGCCTGGCCCAGAAAATTCCGATTGTTTTTCTTTATGTGTAATTCTCCTAAATGACTTCTCCCCCGAACCTCTCCCCATTCCATCCAGCTATTGTTTCCTTCTGTAAGATCTAGGGAAAGAGATGTCCCTAGATCCTTTCCAAAGATGACTTATCTAGTTATCATTCTTGTCATGTTCTTTATTACCCTAATCAACTCCTTTCATATCCTGATCTCACCTCCTCCCTTGGCTTCCCTGATCCTAACTCAAGCTGCATTTTCATTTCTTTCCATTTATGAACCATTACTTCTTTAATCCCGCCAATCTGCAATCTAGATTATCCCTCCACATAACAGCTCTTCCACATCACCAGTTACCTCCTCATTCATTGTTAATAATATGGGCTGTCCCAATCTCTCCATTTTAATGGTAAAGCTACCATCAATATTACCACTTCTTTCCCCCTTCTGAGTTTCTTGGTCCTTAAGTTGCTGTACGCTTCCTCCTATTTCTCTGAATGCTCTGGTACAATCTGCTCCAATGTTTTCCCAGGCAAAGCCTCAAAAGTCATTTAACAGGCTGCCTCGTTCCACATAACTCTCCTGATGATAACCATTTACTGGAATAATGACAACTCCTAAATCCTGACATGTTCTCAACTTACTGACCACATTTTTGACACAGATTTTATATTAAGTAGTAGATTACAATGCATATCTTATAAAATTGGATCCACTTTAGTCATTTAATTTTTAAAAGGAAGTTAATAAAGAAATCTATTAAAATATATATGCAAATATTTTAATTTAAAACATAATTACAGTTTTAATCATACACTCATTAAGCATAGTCTGACTGAAAATTCTTGAGTAAGCTACCCACACTGCACTGGATGAAAATTTCAGTCTTATTTTAAAAAACACAGCAGAAATACACATGTATGACACAACAGAACCCCTTTCCCCAAATCTAATTTTTGACTATACTATTTATGCCAAAACTGAAAAGCTCATTAACTATGTTAAGTTTTCCAAAGGGTTGCAATCCTAATTGATTACAATTGTCCTTAACAGCGAGGTTCTGTTTTTATCTAGTATTTGAGCGTGTAGTGCATACAGAGCAGAGGCGGCTTTGTGAGCTGACTTTTCCTGGCTAAGTATTCAGTTCTACTTATGGAAACAGGTATCTGGGGGAGTGGCCACTGGCCTCCTCTAAGTATTCAACAAGCTATGGGTATTAGGTGGTATGTTTTCCAGTGAAAAAGACTAGTGGTTGCTTTGTCAAAGGTCTTAAGCTGGAGGTTAAAAGGTAAACGTAATATATTAAAATCATGTTAAGTCAAGAATTAAACAGTGAGACAGGAATATCCAACCCTAAATTTCTTTTTTTTAAAAAATGATTGTTATTTATTTATTTATTTATTTATTTATTTATTTATTTATTTATTTATTTATTTATTTATTTTCTGGAACTGAGGACTGAACCCAGGGCCTTAGCAAGCGCTCTACCACTGAGCTAAATCCCCAACCTACCTTTCACAACCCTCCAACCCTAAATTTCTGTTCCTTTCCAGTGATACATTTATAGACTTAAGAGTAATTTTTCAAATTCATATATGGGATAGTAACCTGTGAAGGGGCCCCAAAATATCTTGACCACACAGCAGCCATGACAGGCTTAGGGGCCTAGACACAGCTTCTGTGACAGGCTTACTGGCAGGCAACACCCAGATCCAGGAAAAGCCTTAAGCTGATACCACCCAGGGAATCTACCCAGGGGTGAGGAAGTACCTGACATCCCAAACATTCCAACCATTAGATAAGGTGGCCGGATGTCCTTGAGTCTAGCACACACCTATTTTTGTTTTACAGATACCCTTAGACAATTGTTAGCCACTCAGGGTCCTGGACCCTGGAAATCCCCTCACCCCAACCTCTGCTAGGATAAAAACTCTGCTCCACCTGAGCTCAGGGCTCTCTACTCTCATTGCTGTGTCAGACAGACAGAGGGACCAAGCTCTTTGCTTTTACATTCGGGATTTGGTCTCCATGGTGGTCTTTTGGGGGTCCCTGTGATCTGGGCATAACAAACCTAGTTTTGTGAGACCAAAATGAGCCATCTTAGAAATAAGACCAAAATGCTTTCACCCTAAAATTAAGGCCTAAGATTTCTCCTTTTGGGAATAGGCCATTGGTTACTGAAACAAGTCAGTTCAGATTCCAGAAACCAGGAAGTGTAAAAGTACAGAGTCACAAGGTAGTCACGAGGTAATGCCTGCCAGAATATGGAATGTCCTCTCCCCGGTTTCCAGGGTAATTGACCATAAAAATGCCCCCACCTGAGGGCAGCCAATGAGAAATGGTGGCGGGCAACCACTCCCTTAGAAGTAATTTCTAGAAGCCCCTAGAATCGAGCCAATCAGAATTGTACCCGTACTAGCACCCCTAAATGATATAACCTTGTGATTTTTCCCTTTAAAAACTGAGCTTGCAGACAGGCGGGCACTTCCTCCAGCCTCCACTGCGTTGGATGTATTGGACGAAGTTCCTGCCTAGGCTTGTATTGCATTTGGATATCCAGAATTAAACCTTGCTTTTGCATTCCGGCATGCTTGTCTTTGGTGGTCTCTCTGGGGGTCACGATCTGGGCACAACATTTGGGGGCTCTGGGGGTCACGATCTGGGCACAACATTTGGGGGCTCGTCCAGGATCCCCAGAGACCCCCCCGCCGGGACCCCTAAGAGCTCCGGAGGTCCATCTGCACCGATCGGTAAGAGCGCTCCATTTTCTTGTCTTTGCTTTCTTTTTACTTCATTTTCTTATCTGAAGCTGGCGGTTGAATCTGACAGGCTCTCACCTTGGCGGACGCGCCTGTAAGGTGACCCTGGAGGAGTTGGGAGACGTTCCAACCCCTCATCAGGACGCGGGGTCCCCACAGGTCCCCCGTCATAGGATGCCTGTGAGGGGTCCGTCTGTTAGGACGCCCATGATCTGGGGATCGGGAGACTCTGTTGAGTTGTCCCTGTCCCATCCGTACGGTCTTTGGCATAATCGAGGCTCCCTCTCCGGACTCTCATCTGCCTGGACCATCTGTAGGGCCCTTGTTCTTCCTTTTTGTCTGCCTATCTTGTCCGTCAGTGTGATTTGTTATACCTATATAAATGTATAAATGTGTGAGAACTGTGGCCACATGTGTGAGCTTGTGTATGCATTGGGACTTGTGGGCCGGATTGCCAGCCAAAGGGATGGAGACCCCTTCGGTGGTTGAACTGGCACAGAGTAACAACATTGCTTCCTTGCTCTCTCTGACCAGAGCGCAGGCAGCAGAACTTCAGGGACCCAGGGTGCCGCTGAGAGCTAGGCGGCCTGTGAGCATCACGGGGGCCTAGGTGCAGCGGGTTCGGGGCCCCAGCTCGCTCAGAGAGCTTTGGAGTAGAGACTTTACAGCACGATGAGGTGGTGGCCAGATTGGCCCAGAGGCCGCATGGGAACTAGGCATGGCTGTGTGCTAGGGCAGGCTATGAGCACTGTGGGGCCCAGATATGGCTGGCAGGTTCTGGCTGGGCTCCTGTGTGGACAAGGGGCAGAGCTGGCGGGAGCCAGCAGGAGCCTCAAGGAGCTCAGTGTGGGGGCTGGTGGAGAACTGCCCCTCCAGGGTCACAGCTGTGGAGTGGCCTACAAGTCTGTGGGCCCAGCCAGGGTATGGAGTCACTTTCAGTCTGCCATTCTCGTGTTCTTGAAAATCTGAGGTTAACAGCAATCTTTTTGTCCCAATGGTGCTTGCTTTCCCTGTCCTCTTCCTCTTCCATGCTGGGGCTCCCAAGACCTGCCCTAGGGCTAAAACCTGATCAAGGTCTGGCTCCAAGAATGGAATGTCACCAACAGTTTCTTGTCTGTGGTACAGTGCAGTTGCAAATTGAGTTATTCTTGTTATGGTATATGCATGGATTTCTGTTCTTTAAAATATTGTAACTTTACAATATATTCTAGATTACTGAGGGGAATCACAAGAAAGACTTTGGTAAGAGTTTCTGTTTTAAAAGAAAAGAAAAAGCGGAATTTGTCTAGAGTAAATGTCTGAGGGATCAAAGGAACAGACTGAGGGTCTATAGAAGGTTGTAGAAAGTCAGAGGGGATGTGATGTAAACTGTTAAGGTTTCTTATGCCTGCAAATACTGAATTTAAAAGTTAATTCTTGTTGGTTTTCATTTTAAGAATGGCTAATGATTCTGCAAACTGCTTATGTATGTGGACAGGTATGTGACTTGGAAATGTAAGCAAGCTTTAACTGTACAAATATATGTGTGTAACTTGGATCCAACTGTGTGTATGTATGCAAGTAATTATTGTTTAGAGAAAACGAGCTTTAAACAGCAAACACGTGGCTCCCTCCATCTTGGCTGGTGACCTCATGGGCAGCCATGTGGCTGGCAGCCATCTTTTACTAAGGTTATAAAGATCTACTCAGGTTAACACCTAAGTACTTATGTCTTTACCAAGTGTTCAACAGCAAGTTTCTAGAGAATTTAAATAGATGGCAACTTATGTTTAATAAATAAGATACTTAATAAATATTAAAGCTGCACATCAATGCTTTTATACACAGAAATGTACCTTGCTCTGGCAGCTAAACTTTGTAACATAAAGGAATCATAGGGAACAGCTGAGGTTTGCAAATATATGGCAGGACTAGAGTTCCAAAAAGAGTCTAGTTGCAGTGGTGGACCTTAGCAGTTTTAAAAAATGCTAGTGCCAGGTGATGATCACTGGAAGCACCAGTCATAATAAAATGGAGCAGGCAGGCTATGTATGTGCTGCCAAAGGTAGAGTCAAAGAAATCATCCAAGCCTCTAAGTAAAAGAACCAAAAGGATTATAAATAAATCCCAGATATTGAACTTTGGGATTGTCTACACTTTGGAGCTTGGTTTTACTTTATACAGATTGTGATGATGCCATGTTTTCTCCCCCTTGAAGTAAAAAAAGATACTTTATTGTCGATATTACAAAAGACATTTGAGAGATCTTAATCTTTTAAGAACAGTTTTTAGAGTTAAAAACCAATGGCTTAAAAAAATGTTTCTCCTTACCCAAGGTACGTTCAGGCTTAAGAATGTTGTCTAGCCTCCTTGTATTTGCTAAGTTTGTTAAGCTTAAGTTATTTGGATAAACTGATGCATATATATGTTTTATATTGATATTTTGTTTTGGTTTCTTTACTGAACCTGTATTTGATGCTAGAAGAGCTTCAACTTAAAAGCATTGTTTTTAGGCTACTTATTGTAGACTGCTAGAGAACATAAATAGTCAGTCATAAGTAATCAAGTTTTTTTTGAATTGTAGTCAGGGTAAGTAAGTACTGATGTAATATTACAGAGATAAGTTTACTCATTTACTCAGTCCCTTGCATATGTTTTCAGGGTTAAGCTTGAAACAAGTAATTAGAAACAAAGTTTGTCTATTCAGATATACCTGGACAGCCCTCATACTTCAGAAATCTGCAGAATATGGCATTTAAATGTTGATCTAAAAGCTTATTATATCAGACAGGTTTCCAGATCCTAGCAGTGACCCAAGGTCTCCAAAGAAGATTCTGTACGAGGCACCACAATGTCTCTGCCTGACATATGACAACACTGAC